TTATTCTAATTAGTAATATGATGATGATTATTATTAGTCTAATTATTATTATTAATATTCTAATTAATATTATTATTATCATTATTATTATTATTATTTATTAACTATATTCTATTTTACTTTTCTTGTTTGGCACAATGAGTGAAAAGACAATAAAAGTCAGTCTAGTATGGAACTTGAAATTGGCTTTGATTGTGTTGAGACGTACTATGCTAAGGCACAATAAAAGTATATAAAAAAAAAAAAAAACGTAGAATACATCAGTAAAGCACTCATTTATCTGCACTTCTGACCTAAATCACAGCCACATTGTTGAACAGTAGATCAGGAATAAACGCCTCTCTCCACAGGTCAGGAGACATTCTGAACACTGGTGGCAGTAAAGTTTTATCACATAATATCCAAATGAAAGGTTTCAAATGAAGTCAAATGCTCTTTTCGCTCCTGACTGGAAACACATTTTTGCCGGTTTTGGTTGAGCCACAAAGTTGAAAATGTTGCCCCATTGTCACTTGTTATTAGACTTTTAGCAACAAAACATAAGGATGGAGGACAGAGAGCGATGCCTTCAGCACGGAGCGAGTGGTGTGAGAGAGTTGTGGGGTCGGAGAGTGTTTGGGCCTGTGTCTTGTCGTAGAGTGTATGTGTGTGTCTCGTTTTGTCTTTTGTGTTCATGTTTTGTGTTACCAAAGTTTGAAGTTAATTATTGTCCCATACAGATTACATGCAGTGAAATCCTTGTGTACCTTCTGCAGATGTACTGTATAACACTACAATCATCAGTAAGAACAGATAGATTGATTCAACATTCTTATGGCCTGTCGTGTTTCCGTTCGACGTAGCGACTATTTTTCGGCATGACTTGCTAATAACTTGTTTCTATAATCGGTTGTGTCTCGTAAATCCGAAGTATTCCCAAATTCTGGAGATAAAGTCTGCATTCGTCTGCATTTGTCTCTTCATCGTCCACTTGTTTTGTTTCTGCGCAGGCTCCACTCTAGATTGTGGCGGCACTAGGTCACAGATTTGTCACAGCAGATAAAGTCAAAGTGCGTGTACAAGAAATGCATTTTTATATGGATATTGCACGTACTAATATCGCGATAATGATATTTTTTCGATATATCGTGCAGCCCTCTTTGTTATTCTATTTGTTCATTTCTAAATTCTTTGGGGAGCGACCTGGAAGGGGATGGCGAGCTACTGGTTGCTCCCGAGTTACAGGTTGGAGACCCCTGTTCTACTGTATTGCTTTGATAACGTTATTTTTGACTTGTTTTTTTGTTTTTGTTTTTTTCAAAATCATCCAGTCTTGTCTCCGTGTGTAACGGCTGTTGAATTCTGAATCCATTTGCCTCATCCAAACGTTTTTCAAAACTGTCACTGTTATTCTGTTCTGTTAAAATAAAAATCTTGACTGATTGATCTGAGCTGAAAAATGTGCACTTTATTTCTATTGTTAGCCATTTTTAGAATGACGAGTATTGAGGTTTGTCTGGATGGATGTGTTTCTGCTCCACTATCTTTCTAAAGCAACAGTGGATTATGAACATCTTTAGTTACACAAAACGATTCTCACTGAAAACGGCCAAAAACCACAAAAGAGACAAAGCCCTGAAGGTAAATGTTTCGACACGGACATGCAACACTTCCTGTCCTCGTGACCAGGACATATCGAAAGCACTGAAGATATACAGCAGCTCAACACTCCAGCATCTGGAGATTAAACGTCAAAGGAGGAATGTCGAAAATGTTACTGAGACATGAGGTTTCAATATTGAGATAGGCAGGTTAGAAGTCAGACCTCTATTGGACCATGACAAACGCAGTTAAGACTATTGCGCTATAGTAGAATATTATACTTGGGGACTCATAGAGCTTTGTGGCAATAACTTTGATTAAACAAGATTAAAACTAAACAAAATTACACTTTGTACTGTGCTGATGCATCTATTTAGTTCATAATGTTTTGTTCATTTTAATTTTCCAAGGCATTTCTTCATTCATTTTATCTGACAATATCTCGACCAATGAACCGGTTCAAATGATTTAAGGACTGACTAACCAGGGCCAGAGCTGCGTCCTCAGGTATCAGCCGCAAACCTGAGTTCACTCTCTGTGAATAATTAGAGCTCCTCTGAAATCTCTGTGCATATCAGCTTTATCTTTAAAGTCCATTTAGCACTTCCTGCCAAATAGTTTTTGAATGCATATTTTACTGTGAGATAATTAGAACAAGTGATGACAGCATAGCAAAGACATTCGTAGAACCCTTTTTCAGGCCGTTATTGAATTAAAGGAATATTGGGTGGACACAAACAGCTGCTGGCGCAAATGTCTGGTTCTCTAATGGGGAAGATAAGGACGTGGATTCTAAATGTGACTGCAAAAAAATAAAATAAAATAGAGAGTGCTCAGCAATCATAATTTATCTTTTATGCAGCTCGTGTGACCAGCATGAGTGTAGACTAACGTACAGAGAGAGGTGACTAAGTCCTGAAAAGCTTACTCTTCACTTCTTCATTCTCTCTCGCTCTCGTGTCCTGTCTTGACAGCTCCCATCAAACACTTTGGAAAAGTTATTGTACAACACTGCCTAACGCCAGGAGAGCCAAAAGTAATCAAAGAGCCTCACATGCATGCACTAGGGTTTCTGAAATCTGAAATCTCACCGGTTCTTTCATGGTTAAATTATGTCAATAAATACACCTTACTATCTTACTGAAATTCCCCCACTGTGAGACGAATAAAGGAAGATCTTATCTTATTAATTACTCATTATCAAATGGCTCTCTTTTATTATTATTTTCCCAGTAGCAATGATTCCCTTCAGTCAGAAAAAAGACTGCAAACAAATGTCTTTACTAGTCATAACAGAGTTCTTTCCCATGACTTGGACAGCACCTAATTGGTCCCCATCTGTGTTGTGGCCTACCTTGGAGAACTCAAACTTCTTCATCTCCCTCACAAATGACCTAAGACCTGGCCCCTGACCCTATGGGGGGCATGAGTGAGGCTGTTCCCCTGCCCACTCCGGCCCTGCTCCTTCACTTATCACCCACCAGGAAGCCCGTCCTGTCCCATCCCGGGTCCTGTGGCCTCGTTGGCTTTGGTCTCTCAGTGGGATGAGTGAAGATGGATTCGGGGTTAAGAAAGGGGAACCAAATATCAAAACGTCCACCGCAGCGTGAGATTCATCCGTCAGCACGAATAGACTGTGTCCCGTGCCGCTGGCTGCCATTAGGAGAGCTCTGAAAACTTAGGCCAGAGTATCACTGCGAATACCGAAAGAAAAATGAACAATTTTACGCACCTTCAGCCAAATTTTGATTTTGTCAAAAGCCTCATTTAGCAAAAAATGCTCAGAGGGAATTTATGGGACGTCGGGGAGCAATTAGTCAGACTGGAGCTGAGGCGGTACTTAGACTTAAAAATGGACTTTTCTCTGTCACCGCTAACAGATGTCCACCTGAGCTCTCTTATACACTCACGAAAACCACCAACACATGACTGTATTTTTCTTAATGTGCTTATGCAGGGCAGATTAACGCTATACATTTCACAGTTGTTTGGCTTACTCCTCTCATGTTTCGGCAAAGGATTGCACATCTGGAGCCTTCGTATAATTCAGGAGAAAATGCGATGTCATATACAAGTGCTTCTGGTTCATGCATTGCAATATTCTAGCTTTGTTATTGTCAATTAAATGTGTTAATTTGCTTCTGTTGATCCAGGAATGGGGGGGTTTCACTTTCACACATGGGCCACAGGGCATCGGACAAGTTGCCGATTAGCAGTATTTACAAATAGACACCAATTAAAGCACAAAAAGCTGAGACGCAAATCCTGATTCATGAGTATTCGCAATGACAGCTCCGTGTTTAGGTTTGGCTAATCTAATAATTGAGTTCAACTAAACGACACCAGAGGGATCCAGTCTGACCCCATGACTTAAGTACCACATGCATAGTTTAGATACGAGATGCAGTTCTTGTTCATTTGTTTTGTCAAGATACAGCATCGTCTCCCCCTCTTAACCTCAGTGTAAAGAGGGACATTAGTCGTGCAATAAAACAAGCAAACAAAATAAAACGTCTTTGATTAACATAATTATTGTTAGTTTAGAGGCAACAATTAACCCATTTGTTTTACGTAACTAAATATTTTTTTAATAATTTTTTTCTTACGTACTTTTCAACCCAAATTTCGGGACTTTCTACTCCTTACCTTTTCAGATGAAGACACATTACAAACAAGTTTAAAGTGCTTAGCCATGCATCGAAGTGAATTAATCTGTTGTGGTTAGCCTTGCTTCTAAGTTCAGATAACCTTATAAATTCTACATGTATGACCCAATTGTTTCAGTGTTTCAAAGGCAGTACTTAAAATGTACGTCCGTAAAAAAGTTCAATATTTTTTATAATTTCACTTTAATAATAGAATGATTTCAATACTTTTAACAGAGTTTATGTGTAAACTAATATCTACACTTTTAGGCAAAGCTGGGATACCTAACTTTGAAACCACAATATCAATGTAACTGTGGTTCCTAACTTTCAAAACTTTAGATCAGCTTTTTCTGAGACAAAGAGAGGACCAGCTCTCACTCAACCAATCAGCTCTCAGTATGTAAACGATCAAATGTTTAAACCCTTTAATGGTTTCCTCAACCATTTGGTAAATCACCTTTTGAGTCAATACATCTACTTTAAGCTTGGAACTGAACTATACCTCTTTGGGGCATCTCACTTGGTTTTAGGCACTTTTACCATCAAACTGCAAAAACAAAACTCTTCTTCAAGGAGTGAATATTATAATTTGATCCAAGCTTTACCTATGACTACATTGAAGACCTGTTCCCCACGCCCCGCGCTTTGTTGAGTGGCATTGACCCAGAGCCAGATGTGGGGCAGGAGATGGTTATGAGAAGTGGCGCACATCTGTCCTGTCAGTCTCTCCACGTCTCACTATAAGCAGCAGCTCATCACGGCTCGGCTCCCATGAGCACAATTCATCCCCCTCCGACATCCAGCCAAAGAAGAGCCAATTTTGGGGTCACACCTTTGGGCCTCGTGGGACGCTCTGTAACTGCATGTGGAGGGAAACATATGGAGACGGTGCCATGGGAGAGGAGGCTGAGGTTGTGGCAGGGCATCAGGGGCATCAGGGCTCTGTGTGTACGAGGAGGAGCGGAGGAGATGCTGCAGAGAGGGCAAGGCCTAACACTTCAGACAGCACTCCTCATCAGCTTCAAACACATACCAGCCCCTAACATTAAAGACACAGCTCCAATGATCAAATACAAGTGGGGAGGAGGTGTTAACTAGAACACAGAACGGAAAAGACATTTCGTTTTGAACGCATCCAGTTCCTGAATAGTGGGAGTCTGGTATCCGCACTGTCTTCCATTTTTGGATTGGGCCTTTAGGTTTATATTTACAGAAACAGAAGTTACTCCTCTCCCTTTCCTCTGCCATAAGAGAGACGTAAATGCCTGTGCAATTTAAACAATGGAGGACAGAGTGAGTCACTCGCTGCCCCTTTACCATGAGGAAAGTTACTAGAGAACACTAATTCATGCAGTAGTTTACACAAGACAGTGAAGAAGTCTTTCCTGGAGCGTGGGAAGAGCCCCAAAACCAAATAAGATGTCACAATCAATCTGCATCCATAAATCAACTATTAAAAGTCCCCAAAAAACACGTTTACCAGGGATGCATTTGAAGTTCCATCTGGACGAGACCAGGAGAGGTAATTTCCTCTGCCATGAAAGTACAAACACACACTTGTAAGCTACAAGACACAAAACACAAGGTAAACAATCAAACCGGCTTAAAGTGAAATTTAGCTAAATGTAAAACATGAGATTCACTTGCTTGAGACAAAACACAACTCAAACTGCAAACAGGGAAAGTGTGCAGTTATGTAATTCACATAAAAACATGTTTTGTTTGGCCCAGACCTGAAACTAATGACATTTCTAATCAGAGTGATAGGCATCAGACGGGCACGCCAACACACTCCTGCAACACGCCAGGCCGCACACGTTAATGCTTTCCACACAGAAAGGCCCTCCTCTGTAACTTATAAAGCCCCCAGTGCAGAAATGTGAGCTAGTAATGCAAGAAAGAATACAGAGAGAGGCTGCTTAAAGTCAATCTGACAAACAGAACGCCAGACTCAGGTCAATGTGGTGAACGGAAACGTCACGACATGTGATTTCACTAAGCAACTTTGACAGCTCCGCAGCGTTTCAGCGTTATGATTGTAGCCATTTCAAGTCACTGAAACTTTGTAAGATAAGGGTTCAGGTATAAATAATCATTCCAATGATATTTTCATTTATAAAACTCTTATCTAAATAAACAATCTTATGTGACCCATTAGTGATTAATACTGCAAGCTGGCAAAGCACTCCTGGTAGAAAATTGTGTATTTGTAAAGCACTTTGTGTTGATTTTTGTTTGTTTGTAGGAAAAGCGCTTTATGAATAAAATTGTTTTGATTGATTGATATTTAGTTGGCCATAATAAGTCCTTCAAACGTCAGGTCTTTGTATCCAGTTACAGCTGTTTATTATGGTGTGGTCAGATAATGTCACTTGGTGTATGACTATGATTGTGTGAGTGGGATAGTGTTTCTCGTACATTTTAGGGTGGTCATTATTTAATTGTTTAGTTTATAAATCACGTAATGATATTGTACAAGACGACCAATTATTTCATTTGAATTGCAATCATTTCTATCTTAAGAAATAAAATTAGGGTATGGTGCAAAATGCCTGAATGTTGCTCAATCCAGATCAAACTCTGAATTTCCGAGTCGAGTCACTATGTTCTATTAATCACTATAATCACGTAAGCCAATATATTTTTATGTGTATAGTATTTGCCACAATGAAGGCGCAGCAATTTAACTCCAGCTCAAGTCCATTTACCGTTCACACAGTTTTAAAACATAAAAAAGTGCTCATACTTGACATCCATCTCATGACTACTTCAGACAAGTTAAATTTTTGACGATTGACCCTTGGGATCTCGACACAACACTGAGACGTTCTTGGCCGAAGCAGCTTTATAATGGAATCTGAACAGTGGGAGCGTTGACACTGGCCTGAATAATGTTTGTGAATTCATAAAACCACAGTGGCTGTTGGTGTATTGTATTATATGATTGTATGTGTCTGTGCAATACAGTGGAGACTCCCTGTCAGCATCAAACTCACAGTAACCACACACAGTGACTGACAGAACTCATTTGCACTGATTCTCCTCCCGATTCCATGTGTTTTTCATTACAGCCATTATCATTATTGTTCTATTTTGAAGCGAGGATTATTTGACTAACAAAATAAAATGGAAGTTTGGTTCACAGTGTGTGGAAGTGACTGGAGCGTGCAGTGCGACGGCCGGTGGGAAGCCGAGCGTTCAGAGCCACGGGGCAGAGCGGGAGCGGGACACGGCCCACACACCGCGGCCACAGTGCAGTCACACTTATGGCACTCCAGCGATCAGTCAACTCCAGAAACACACACACAATGTTCCACGTGCAAACTGTACATTCATATACAGTTAACCCTTTCTCGGTTTGCTCGACTATTCGGTGGGTCCATTTTTGAGTATCTACTTGAAGAATGATTGGAACTGAAATTGACCTTGATTGAAATGGGAACTTGATCTTTTCACTTCAAGTTCAACATGTTTGCACATTCCCTGTTTGCACATTCCCTGACTTTTGCTCATCCTAAGTGATGCCATATGTGACCAGATCAGTAAAGTCTATCTTATCTTATCTTGAATCTGCCATCTCTATCACTTGGCTTGTTACCATAAAGCTGCATCTCAACCATTTGGTAGAGGTGGTTGAGGTCCTGGGTTCGAATCTCAGTTGGAATAGGTCCTTTCTGAGTGGAGTTTACATGTCCTCCACAAGTCTGCGTAGGTTTCCTCCGGGAGCTCCGGTTTGCACAAAAACATGCACAATATGTAAGAATGTAATGAGTGAGTGAATGGATGGTGTTGGTTTGGGCTTTAAAGCACCAGTGCATCAAGTGCTTTGGGTGACTTTGGTCTGTAAAAAATGCGCTATATGAATAAGGATTACTTACTTACTTATAATAATTTAAAAAAAACTAGGAGGTTAAACAATAACTAAATATATAAATAAACACAAATAATAGTTGTTATGCTCCTACATTAAATTTACTTATGCTAATACTTTCTTCAAGGAGTGAACCGTAAAGGGTTAAAGCCGGCATACCAACTTTTTGGTGTGCTTGTCCCATCAGAAAGAGTTTGTAGAAGTTGTGATTGTGAACAAATTCATCTCATGAGAAAAAAATATTTACTTCTGCTGACTGGTAAAAGCCCTGTGAGTCACTATTGACACTTTGGGTTGAGAGCTGAGTGAGGGTGGTTCATTCTTTTTAACTTTTAAGTCTGCAAAAGCTAACCAAAAGATGTCACAGAGGTCCAAAATTGTATTGCATTTTTAAATTTGTTGTGATAGGAAAGATATGTCCCAGCTTTAAGTGAAGAACAAAGTAGATTATTTATATTTCAACGTAAAGACTCCACTATTTAGCCAATTTGTAAATAGTGTAAAGTTTGGACCAAAACGCATGCATTGCAGTAGAAACACATGAAAAGACTGCAACAATCTCAAGCCAAAAAGCAAAGAATGAGTGACACCACAACAACCAAAAAATTTGAAGATAATAAAGTGTATTATCAAGGTTAAATATGTGGTTAAATACAAACTTGAGCATGCATTCCTTTCCTTCCATAGCTATTCAGATTCTAACTATTTTGGAGCATTAAAAACAGCAAGAATTTTGGAAGCTTGAGCTCAGTGCGTAACCAGCACTCTCTCAGATGAGTGTCCAGACAAGAATAGCTGTCTGTCTCCGTACACATACATTTAAGAGTTGGATAAAAATAAGCCTGGACTATGCCAAGCCTCTTCTGCACGGTGCTTCTCTTTTAAACTCTGTGGTTGGGGCCCAGGTCATTGTCCATCAAACTGAAAGCTACTTATCTGCCCGTCGGAAAATGCAAATGTGTCTTTCCTTCATCTCTGCAGGATTAGCAATAGTAAGACAATAATGGATCGACTGCTTTGAGTCACATGCTGCTGTTTCTGCTCTGTAATGTCGAGTTACACATGACACCACGCAGGACAAGTGGGGCGACCAAAGCTCATCTCGAACACACACAGAAGGACCGGCTGATATCAATAAATGCCCAGGTCTCGTCTAAAAAACTCACCGGTCCTCTGCTGGTGCTGCTCTCAAACTGTGGAATAGTTTACCCCTGTACATTAGAGCAGCTCCTTCATTGGATCTTAAAGTCTGAAGACACGCTGTTGTCTTTTCTTTTTTCTTTTATGCATGTGAAGCGCTTTGGGCCGCTGATGTTGTTGTAAATGTGCTACACAATTAAAGCTGACATTGACATTGACCTAATGAATAATCCCTACATCTACCAACCACAATTTTGGATAAAATGCAACATTAGGAGTCAACATTGTCTTTCAAACAGAGAAAGAGGATTACATTTTCATCAAAGATTAGAAATTAAGTAATAAATTAGTTCTGTAACTTCTAAAATGCCAGCTGGAGTCTCAAGTATTTGTTTTGGGGTTATTTCAGTATCATGATTAGACAAGACAGTAAACAGAAATAGACAAGAAAATATATTGATCCAAAATGGGAATTACTTGGACACAGTAGCTCAAAAAAGTCAGTTCAAACGACACACAAGTATTCTGCAGTATCCAGCTCAACTTAATATAACCTAAATTGCTATTCTTTTCACAGCATCGCAAAGGTATTTCAGGAGGTCGTGGTCCTGGAAGTAAAATATGTTTTTGGAAAGACAGATATCCGTACTGGTAATCTATGCGTGACAAACAGCAGACAACTTCTCTGTGTTGAAATTGGCCTTTTATGCCTTGTCTCTTTTACAAATTGGGGGCTTCAACTCAGCAGGGATGGCCGATCGATCAGGAAACGTGGCCCCCAGCAGCGCTGATAAGAGCATGACAGATGCTAACCACAAGGCCCGGATTCTCCACACAACTGGCATCGGTAACAGACTTATCACAGTGACGAATATCCACTTTAACACTATATAAACAAACGGCCTCTGCTTTTCTGCTTAACATATTTGTGAAGTGAGGTTTAACCAAACACAACTGAACAATAGATTTTTGACTTTATTGGCTTGAACTCACATGTGAGCTCCATTCCACAAAGTCAATGTTCCTGAAACATTGATTAATCACAAAGATTGTTTGTTTTCTTTGGGAAAATGTAATGTACATCAAA